TGTATCAGGGTACCCACAATCACTGTGAAAAAATTTGAAAACGAGCTGTGAATTTTGCAACTGAAAAAACCTGGATTGAACTGTGGAATTTGGAGTTTAGTTCTTGAATAAAGATGGGCCAATTCTGATTCTGATTGATTGATTGATTGTAAGAGGGTGGACTCATGGTCCAAGCACGTCAACCGAAGCTTATTGTGCATCCTGCTTGCCACTAACTGGGTAAGCCTATGTCCCTAACTAGGTGCAGGAGCTTTTGCCCAATGTTAGCGTCTGGTTCCTCACCTGGCTGCTTTAGACCAAACAGAGCCCTTCTCCTAGCCCGTAGTCCGATTACTTTTGATACTGGTGAAATTATCGATCGTAAATATTTTGTGACTTTGTATTCAATACTAGAACTGTCCCATGCGATCAACGATCAAGGCAACAGCATAGGCAACTCTCGTGATCACGGCAATAAAGATCATCTCCTGCTATCATGGTTATATGTTGATCTTTGATCGTGTAAACTCTGCATACAGCATCCGTGTTCAATTTAATGTACTTGAATTCCTGTCAACGAATAACAAAATTCTTCAAACAAAACTTTTTGAATTTTTAGATCTTCAAAGTTTTATCTTTTAATATTTAGATTAATTTTGAATTAATTTATAATTATTGCTATAATGAAGAAAACCATTGAATTAATCTTTCAAAATTTTTCTGTGAATAATTAAATAATCCTTCCTAGTAATTTTAAACTGGTTTGTTTTTTATTCAGTATCTTAACGTCTGGAATCCGAACCACATGGAATCGGGCTGACGGTTGTTGACTGCATGAGGCAACATCACTGCCATTAATGTAACCTATTAATAATGCCTTATTTGCTTATCCAAAGACTGCTTTATGGTGTGATGCCACCTTAAATCTGCTTGTACCTGGCCCAAGCCATCAACGTAAAAAATAAGCAAATATGACTCTGAAAACCCTTGATTCAACTTACAAGTTAGAGTGGGGACCCTGAGTATGAACTTTATTGTTAGTTTCCTCTTGTTAGGGTTTAACTCTAATTTTTGTACTGTGGTATACACACAAGATTTGGTAAATTTCTAGATTACGGCCACATGAGATTTTTAAGTAAATTTGACTAAAATGCTTAAATAAGACCTAAATTGTATATTGCAACTAAAATAAATATTGGGATATCATTTTTAACCCATCCTAACCCCTTACCATCTAGGGGACTGGTGGGGATTGGGGTTTTTGGGTGGGGGAAATCCTGATCTGAGGGAAATTATTTTAAGGGGAAAAAGGCCTAAAATACATGGTGCACTCAACTAAAAAAAACTGGTCCTCATCTGTTAAAACATAATATAACCTAACCTAACAAACTTCTAACTCTTAGCAAATTCCTTTTGATGCCAGAAAAGGCATGTTTGGATGGGAGGTCGTCCTTTATTTTAATTCGTGACTGTATTAAGTCCTTTGAAGGTAGATTAGGAAGGTAAAGTTAAGGTTACAAAGAACCAAAACTTTACCTTCCTAATCTAATCTACCTTCAAAGGACTTAATACAGTCCCGAATCAACATAAAGAACGGCCTCCCATCCTAACATGCATAAATAAGGACTAAATGTAAGTGCTCGGTCATGAATGGTTTTGCAAGGGATTTTTGTATTATGACAAATAAAAGTGTTTTTTGTCATGAAAATTTCAATGATACATATGACTTTCCTTGTTATGCAATTAAAAAATCTAAGGTATGTGTTTTTTCCAATTTTTATTTTTAATAACAACCTCCAACCAATAGCCATTCTATCAAAATTTATTTTTTACAATGAGGTTTTTTCCTTTAAACCTATGCATTCCATAAACTGTGATTTTATTTTATATATTTATGGAAATACTTGAATCCCAAATGTTAAATTTGATGTGATATTGATTTAGTTGAAGTTGATAGTACATTATTTGTTCATAAGTAATTTTGTTTACTTGGGATCAAATGGCTTTTATTTTTAGGAAATGTTTTGAAATGAAGTTAATCTGTCATTTTAGACTTTGTTTAAGAACCCACACTTGGCACACAAATACATAATTATAATTAGGATTTTAATAGCTACCCTTATCCAGGTCACAAATTAAATGATATCATTAATAGTGGTTTAACATAGTTCTAAATATTTTGAATAACACAATCTCACCTAATTGTAATGCATGATAAATTAGTTATATTTTTTATAAACATATTGATACAATGTATGGTTGCTCAAATTGTATTGTGTTGTTTATCACAACTAGTCATTTTAAATCTGTATCTGTTATGTGTGTTTAGTAGGATCTTTGACCTAATGTACTTACTAATTGACAGCAAGTATATTAATTACAAAAGCACACAGATAGATGTTTTGTTTTATTTTGTTTTTATACTAGTATAATAAACTTATGTTCAACAATAACTCATCGTGATATTATTCTAAACACCTGTCTGTTTCATTTTGTTACCCAATTCTTTTAATACTATACTTAAAGTTGTACCTCCTCTTTGTTTATTTCATGTTTAGTTCAAAACTTCATAAGTACAAACGGTATCTGTGCCTTTCGCTTGTATTACATTTGAAGTTCATAAAATGTCCATGGTAACATGGTAAAGATATTTAGCAATATCTTTGGTGATTTTTTATTAATATAGCATCTTTGATGGAAAAACACAAAATTTTGTCACGACCATCACGGACATAAAACTGAATATTAAAAACAGTTAATATTATTTTAATAACTATGTTTTGTGCTATAAATTAATTTACTTTTAGGGCCATTATACAATAAACAGCTCACTAAGCTTTTGGTATATTTGGTCTTTCTAGAAAAAAATAAAAAAAACTAAAAAAAGCCAATAAAATCTTTTTAAGTTTGTATAACTCCGAAAAAACTTACCTGAGACCCGAAAAATCGTTGTATTTTTATAGAGGTGTGCTTCTTTTGTGTATAAAGCATTTAAATATGATGATATTTTAATTTTTGAAATTTATATGATAGAAATCATAAACGTGATGGTCAGGGACCAGCGGTACGTACGGTTGTGAATTGTCTGGAATAATTTGAATCTTTCTAAACAATCCTTTAATTACCTATACTGTTAGTTATAATAAAAATATGTGTTTCAATTTAACTAAACTGTTCAATTTACAATGATATTTAAGTTATTGTTACGACCAAACACAGTATAATCCATAAGGCTGGATTGGTCGTGAAAAAAAACCTGTGATGGTCGTGAAACTTTTTTTTTTTTTTTAAGAGGTTGGCGGCCTCTTTTTTTTGGTCATGACATTACGTGTTATTTGGCTCTGTTTTCTAGGTTAATCTAGCAATTTAAATATCTTATAAACAAAAATTAACACCATGTCTACTTCATCAAATGACTACGATGAATGGTAATATGACTATGATTTGGTTGTCACGGACACACCAAAATTACAAAAAACACAAACTTGCCTTTATTAATCTTGTAATTCCTCCTTTCAACTCGAAACTACCGGCACTACAATCCTGACGTACACCCCGAACTAGTCTCTAAAACCAACTGACTCCATCGACGCCAGGCTTGCCACTGTCGTGCTCCAAAGTTGCAAATTTTTCCCTAATGGTCGTGACGTCAAATCAAGGGACAGACCTATTTAGTCATGGTAGTCAGTTTACAATGAAAACAAAATTATCATATGCTCCTTTTTCGTAAGTTTAATAACTATTGATGTAATAAAAATATGACATGATATATTTCGTTCGGCATGAATAATTATTCTAAAAACAGCATGAAAGTTGCAAAATGTACCCTAGAGAAACGTGACGGTCATGAGTTTTGAGACTTTAAAAATACGAAAAAAAAGTACCTAGAACCTATTTAAAGCCAAATAATTGTGTGTAACATGTTGCCCCCGCCCCAAAAAATATTAAAACATATAATGATAAACTACATATTCAGTATCTACGAAGTAAAAGGCCAGGGACATAAAAACGTGTTTCAAAATTTTACTCTTATGTGTAAAGGCAATCACGCAATGCATATGAGGTGAAATTATCATACAGTTAAGTCCCACTATTCCTAACCCCGCTGTTTTGAAAATATGGAAAAATCTGCCAATTCTGAACTTAAGTTCAACAACTTTTATAATTTTTAAATGTTAGTAAGAATCTAACTTGAAATTGACAACATCTTCTGAAGTAATGATGGAAACAACATCATCTTCCTTGGTTGCAGTGACATCATCATCGTTTCTGCGGTCAGAGCAAAACCGTGTACATCATCTGTGATTTTGATGACCAGTTATTATCAAAATCTGCTTATTCCAAAATCCAAACTTCCACTAATCCAAACAGGGGTTGGTCCCAGATAGTTGGGACTAAAGGGACACTACTGTACTGCAATGTCAGTGGAAATTTGTACAGTTAATCTTTCACTTTTAATGGATTTAATTTAACAAAATAAGAAGTATTCTGATCATGAAAAGTACTATACCTAGGAAACTAATACATTTTTTAAAAAATCCTTTAAACTACAGTTAGTGCACATTCCAGAATGAAATTTCAAGTTTTTATTTTTATTTAAAATATTACGAATGAATATGCGCACCACAAGTAAATTACATGTAGTGGGGCTGAGTTAAGAATGTATTACCTTTAGAATCTTAGCGAGAGGGCTCTACTGATTTATTATAGTATAAAATTCATAGAATCAGTACTAGCAAAAATTTAATTTGAAGTCAAAAGGCATATTTAGACATTAATAATTATTTAATTAAGGATGGTGTAAGCGTAAACACCAAATAAAAGACAATTTTATTGGGTAATATTGTGTACTTACAAACACGTTAAAAATAGTATATTTCAGTCAATCTTAGAGGTTGATAAACAACTTTTTATCCCTCAGTAAATTACTGTATCTTATCTTGTCTTTGGTGAAATATATAGTAAAAAAAAACTTAACTACTGTACTGATTACCATGAAAAGGAATAGAAAACTACAAATGTTGGCACAAAATAACTGAGTTTTATTACATGTTGTACAACAGTGCATAGAATAATCAGGGAACAGAGCCCAGTTCTAGCGTGTATTAGGTGCACACATAATATTAAGGTGTGAAGAGAGGATACAGAGTGACGGGTAAACTTAATGTGTAACGGTGTACATACTAACAATAACTAACATTAGCAAAGCAGTAAAAAAATGTTTGATCGTGAAACAGAGCTTGGATAAATACATAACAAACCAGAATGGCAACCCGGTTAGAATGACTCGAGATGGTCGTTAATGAAGCTCTAGAAGTTTTTGGGATTCACAGATTACCTCATTTTTTTACTGAGTGATGTCCTCATCACATAAATGCTTGGTGATGTTGCATTGTTAATAAGCAATACTTGGGACGGAGGGATCACAATATTCACAATGAATCACATTCATTTCTATCATTGTGGAAGCTAGTACAATAAATATCTATAATTTATCTATAAAAATGAATCCATCAGTTAATATGTTTTATCATATATAATAGGTCAAACATTATTCTGTGCTACATATTGTCAAGATGACCAGATCTAAAAAGAATATAATAAACATGAAATAAATCAGTTAATTTTCAGGTTAAAAATAGAATAACTTGTTCCTTTTAAAAAACGGGTTTTTTATATTAGAGCCACATAATTCAAAGTTTTCAAATGTGTTTTTGTGACAAAACATATTGTATGTATAACATACTATAAATAGTATAAATAAATAAATATATATATATATGTTGTACATACAACATTTTAAATTTATACCATTCAAAGGAATAACATTGAGTAAACCAAGAAATGTGAATTACATTTTTAGAAAATGTGAAATGGTTTTAAATTAAAGTTTAGTAAATATAAGAAAATAATAAATGGTGTAAGATAAACAATATTAAATACTGGAATTTTGATTGGGCTCTCTAGTTATTGGAATCAGTCCATTAAGATAAGATAAATAAAAAAAAAACAAAGGTAATAATTCACACTACCTAAGAACACTATACTTAAAGATGTCTAAACAAATGCTGCTCTATCAACTCTCAAAATTTCAGGATCTCATCATAAATACACTTTTGTCCACTAAAATCCCATCTATGTAATCAAACTCACAAGATAAAAAACTGCTAATTGTTTAATTAGTAATGAAATTACAAATTAACAATGCATCCACTTAAATCAATGAATACAAACCCTTAAAGAAGCGAAATGCTTATGGAGAATATTTAAACTGGAATTTTGCCACCAAAATGAACCTTGAGCGGCCGCCGCTACAATCGCTCGGGCGGCCGCCACGCTACTCTCTCCCTATAAGCCAATTCTTTGTCTCACTCGACTTGGCCGCACGCTCGCAATACCTAGCGGCCGCAGCAAGAACTATGAAAAATTAAAAATTTTCAGATTGAATTTTTTACAAAGGCATTGCGCTTATTAAAGGGTTTGTATTCATTGCTTGGATCATAAAACAATGCTTAGCCTTCAAACTATTATTTAGTTTTTTTTTAACATGGTTAGATTATTCAAGCATATATTTAAGTTTGATGTTGAATTAAAGATGAGTGGGTTAGTGGCTAAGGCTATAGATTAAATTAAATTTAAATAAACAATATAACAACAAACTCAACAGTAAAATACATAAATTTACAAAATCTTGGTAACTTAACACAAATTACAAAAAAATAAATTTAATACTAATAAAAATACTTTTAAATTGCTCTTTTAAAATACTTTTCTATATACTCTGATAAAGCTTAATATAATAATAAAATATCTATGATTATTGATTATATCGAGGACGGTTTAAAGTGATGTGATTTGTCACTGTGATGACTAATGATTGTTTTATTTACAAAAATAATAAGTTATATTTCGGGTCTAATAACAAAACCCTCTTACGGGATCTCAAATATTGAGAATTATAATTTTTATTTGTATGGATTTAACACGAGTAAAGGTAATTTCATAATAAATTACTGTCTTTTATACCACATTGTAGATATATCGCAGATTTACTTGTTCGGCAAGGTCTCTTAGTTTCTTACCAATAAAAAAAAAAAAATTGAAAATAATTCTTCAAGAATCTTTACCAAATAACAACGCAAGGAGTGTAGGCGGCAATGCAGACTTTTACCAAACTTAACAGGTTAAAAACTCAAAGAACTTGGGATGCCGCTAATCCAGCCGGTATAGTTTTATATAAAATAGTGACTTAATATTTTAAAATATTCCACAAAAGATTACTGGTGCATCCCATAAAAATATACAAGTTAAATACAAGACATACAGGACCATAAAAGTACCCAGTCTAGCTTCTAGATAATAACTGAAGAACTTGGCAGGTTAATGGATGTACATAATGTTGCTTCTCTAGAAAAAAATAGAAATAAGGAAATGGAATTTTTTTCAATATTATAGATTTACTGCGGGGTCAATTTCAAATACCTAACAGACAACCGAATTAGGTAAAAATCAACTGTAGCATTGAGATATGCTCAGGATAGTCAGCTCCATAGAAAATTAGCTTTCAGCCCCTTAAGGAGAGTCGCTACTGAAACTAGTGATTTAAAAAAAATCCTTTTAAAAATTATCATATATAATTTTATAGGTTCATTTAGTCTTAGAAAAAGGTTTACTGCTGTTAAAGTAAAAACATATTTTTTACATACTTTTTGGGGTTTTTTCAGGGGGAAAATTGGGTTTATTAAATCTCTTGTAGCTTTTAACTACCAGTACTGAACCAATTTTATTGTTTTAAGAAGTACTAACTATTTGTGTATACTCATGTTTTTTTCTCAATTAGGTTATGTGTTATGGCTTCATAAATAACTAAAAAAAATGCCTATGTAATTAATCTTTTTAATTTTTGTATGTATTTTTGTATGTTTTTGTATGTTATTTAATATATCTCAGTATCCATGCAGAAGAGTAGATTTATAGTACATATAAACAATGTGTGGTAAAAATTCCAATCATATGGCTAGCTTTAATAGTTAAAAAGTTATAAGAACTTATATGTAAAAAATAATGTAAAATTTTAAAGTTGCGGAAAACAGCGGTTGAAGTTTATACTAGTTACTCAGTAACTAAAGAAACAGGTGCGCACGCTCCACTTCAAATATTTTTTCAAAGAGATAAAAATATACATCATACCATATGTCTTGTTTTTCTTATACACAACATAGAACAAGAAAAAACATATAAAATTAAAAATAATGTTGGTCATTCTCACTAGCGACTCCCCTGAACCACATGGATCTGCAATGTAGTAATAAAGATAAATAGAAGGTATTGGTATTCGTACCCCTTCTTCAATGTAACCTAAAATTGTTTTAATTTTGTAATAAATATCACCTTAATGCAATTAACTAGATAAAATACCGGGTGTTTCTAAATGAATAGCTGGGTTTTAACGCTTTATAACTTTTATACTATTAAACTTACCACCATAAAATATGCATCAAATGAAAAAGCAGCTCAAAGAGTTTATGCCTTCCAAAGACACATCATTTAACAAAATTGATCTAGCAGAACTGTAGATTTAATTGTACAAGGCTAAAAAGTAGTCTCCAACTTTTTTCACCACTATAAATTCGGAGGTTGCTTGACGTTTTTGCAAATAACTTTTAAATGGTGAGGAAATCGACCAAAGTGGAAGGTAATATTCCGAAAGAGAATAAAATTTCCTACAATCTACTAGTATGCATTTCATGAAAATACTCAATAAATGTGGCCTAAATTTGGCTTAAAATAAAAAAGTGTGAAATTTAATGTTTGCTATGTTTATTGTCTACATTGAAGACGGGGATTTTCAATTTTTTCATTGTTGAGGCAATTTTTGGTACCTTTCTTGAGTATTTCCAAAAAATGCATACTAGTAGATTGTAGGCAATTTTATTCTCTTTCGGAATATTACCTTCCACTTTGGTCGATTTCCTCACCATTTAAAAGTTATTTGCAAAAACGTCAAGCAACCTCCGAATTACTAGTGATGAAAAAAGTTAGAGATTACTTTTTAACTTTGTACAATTAAATCTACAGTTCTGCTGGATCAATTTTGTTAAATAATGTGTCTTTGGAAGGCATAAACTCTTTGAGCTGCTTTTTCATTTGATGCATATTTTATGGTGGTAAGTTTAATAGTATAAAAGTTATAAAGCGTTAAAACCCAGCTATTCATTTAGAAACACCCGGTATAATAGGCTCCCTTATCTTTACCTACCTATATTGATATTTGGGAAACATGTAAAATCTACTTCTTGAGAATAACAACAGCTCTATACTGCGAGAATAAAGCACAATTACTAAGCATTTTAGATGAGGTGATGAGTTATTCCTTAAGTAAGTACAGTACATAAATGGCACAAGTAGGTACCCACTATGTAGAACATTAAGTTGGTGAATGTTGAATGATGAACTGTTACATTAATTTAATCCTGGCTTACTTTTATATAGTAGTAAACTAGTTTGATTTTAAAAGCTGTTAAATTAAGAGTTTAAACTAATTGTCATTGAGCAAAATAACACAACACATAGAGTTATAATAGTTGGTGAACTTAATGAGTATATAATAAAAGAATTATATTTTAAACTATATAACTAGCCATCAGGCTAAAACAGTGTGATGTCTATATTTAGCAGTTTATGACTACATATTTTGTAAGGAAACTGGTATTATTTAAAACCAACAACAACAGTGTTATAAATGGTGTTATCAAAGTGAGCTTACAAAAAATACTATATCGAATACCATTAGTAAGGCAAATCACTTGACCATACAGAGGGTATATCTCTTCATTACAGTACACGAACAGCAAATATCACAACTTTTACAGAGATGGGATTACTTCATCTAACGTTAATTAGAAATTTAATATAAGATATATATAATTTCCACACAAACAAAGACTTTAAAAGTAAGCCAGGGTGTTCTAAAAGTAATAACATTGTGGAGTGAAATGTTATTTGTTATAAGGTTTCAAAAATTATACTAAACACAAAACACCAGTGAACTGCATAGATTAACAACTTTCCAATGAATATATGGTACATTCATCAATATTCAATGTAGGAATTACAAAACCAACGTTTCATGACAAAAGAGATGATAATATAAAAAACATAAAACTAGCAACTTTGATCAGCTCAGATGTTTACAAGTTGGTAGAGGCGGTTTGTTCGTAGAATAATACGTAAGCATCCCTCTTGGGCATGTTTTCTCCTGACATTGGGAGCACACTGAAAACACAAACTTATTAACAACCCTATTAGACCCTACAGTACAGTCTTGATTATCCCACTTTCTTTTGTTATCGGGCGCTTTCTGTGGACAACCGAGCGTAATGATCACAAGCTATTTCCATGTGGAGGGCTTCAAAACAACCCCTTTTGTCACATGTCTTTCTTAAATACTATGTATAGTTACACGTGTAAACAAATGTATGAAATAAGTATTCAAAGTCAACTAATAATATGCATCACATAGTATGTTTTTGTTATATTTAAGGTATATTAAATGGATTTACTAACACAGATTTACAATAGCATTATCATAGTCTGTAGCTGTACGGTACACAAACTTTACAGAAATCTTAACATATATAATTAATAATACTGGTTTTATAAACAAAAAAACTTTCATTTTCAATAGAAACAAATCAATACATTGATCCCCAGCATTTTTAGGGATCAACCGCTATCTCTAAAAATGTTGTGACATTTATAGTATTTATTTCACTATTATTAATGGTTATACTTATGGTAGGTTTTTCTTTGCTCTGTGCCATTGAAAAAAACATTTTATTGGGTTTCTCCGCGTTCAAAAATAAACAATTTCTAGTGAATTAAGATTTGATATTTTTTATCTGTTCCTTACATGATATTTCAAGACCTCAATATGTTTTGGATGTTGTTATTAGATTTGAATCATCAGCATAGAGAAAAAAATTGCTGTGTGTGTCATTAGTATTATTTATGACGAGGTTTCCCTGGACGTAGCACAGAAACAACAATGGCCCAAGAATTGATCCCTGAGGGACACCATGCTTAATTTCCATTATATTCTAATTGTGATTTAAAACTTGGTTGTCTTTGATTTATGTAATTTCCACATAGGCCTACTGTTTTCTGTTTAATAGAAGGTATGATTCGAACCATTTTAACTGCAAGTTAGGCAAGCCTAGATTTTTTTTAATTTATGTAAAAAAATTTTGTTTGAGGTACTGTCAAACGCTTTTGTGAGGTCCATAAAAATACCAACTACTTTATTTCCTTTCTCAACCGTAAAGTCTACCAAAGCAGTGGTTACCGATTTTCTCTTGCGAAAACCATGTTGCTGATCATCAAATAATTATTTTTTAACAGGTGACCCACCAAGCGATTGTACATCACCCTCTCATATTTTTGAAATTGAAGGCAATAAAGAAACAGGCTGATAATTGTTTACTTCCAATTTATCTCCTTTTTTGTAAATTGGTACAACCTTGGAAATATTTAAATTGTTAGGAAAAATGCCAGTTATTAAAGAGCTATTAATTGAATGCACTAAGGGTTTTAGTAATGACTCCCCTGCATGCTTGATTAGATTCAAGGGAACCTCATCATGACCACTAGAATGTTTATTTTTAAGGGTCGAGATGATGTGTTTTATCTCTTTCTCAATGGACTAGGGTGCATTGAAATCTATATTTAATTTCATTTTGGAGAGCATCAGGTATTTGTGCTGGCCCAGGTGATGACAGAGAACAAGGGTTTAAGGATGTTTTTGCACTAAATCCTCTACAGCTTCAATGCAAAATTTATTTAAAGTATTTGATATAGTTTTTGGATTGCTTATTGCGGAATTTGTATGTTTTATTTTAGAAATTATTTGCTTTAGACTGTCTGAATATTTACCTGTCTCCCTATTAAGCTCCCTATTATTGATTATTTCCCAAGTTTTTTCTTATATGTTGTCTGAACTTTTTATTTTTTCATCATATGATTTTTTCCCTTATAGCTTGTTTTTATAATCTTTATTCAAATTACTACTAATTTAATTTTTCTAAGGAAGAGAAATTGGCTTTACAACTTAATCAAACATGGTAAAATTTATAGCAAAAATGATTTAAACGTAAAACAAATAGTTTATGTGTTTTAATAATTTAACTAGGGTTCCAAATTAATAGTTTTATTTAACATGATTGTTTTATTTAGACTTATTCTAAATAAATGTGATCCAGTAAAAAACGAACCTCTTTACACTCGTATGCTCCAGACTCAAGAGCACAAAGTAGGCTAAAGGCTATGACATTTTTTGTCTCGCAAACCCTTAAATTCAGCCTTTGAAACTACATTATACAGCAGAAAACCCCATCTTAGAGTATTCAGAATGTGTTTATTTGAAGTTTTTTACTAACTATTTTTTTTATGTTAACACTTTAACTTATTTCCAAGACAACAGCCACATAACAAAAACTATAGAAAACCACAGTAACCCCAGTACTGAAGTGAATGAATTTTTGTGAGCAAGTTGATATTAGTTGGTCTTAGGTTTAATAGCATTTTCCTAGGCCAAGCACAAAACTTTACGATGCGTCTAACGGCAATAATTAATCAATTATTTCAAGTAAATTAATTAATTAAACTCAATTAATTGTTAGAGGAAACCCCAAATCAAATATAGGCCAATAAACGATGAAATATGAGATTGCATAACATACATAAATATGAGATTATAACATCAAGACATATACAATGGATCAGCTTTAAAAAATAGCAATACTGTAATGATATGCTATTTTAAAATGCATAATTTTTTTTGTATTTTTCAGGGTTGGTACTAAATTTGGAAAACCTGACTTTTCCAGGTTTTCCAGACTGATATTATACTTTTTCCAGGTATACCGCAAGTCGATATCAACCAATCAAAATCAAGAAATATTTAAAAAATTTAACTTATTTAATCACTCCCAAATACAAAACTTGTTTCAAACTATGTACATATCGATTCCTCTCCCGTACCGATAAAAACTATCAATATAAAAATGTGCATCAGTGCTAATGTCGTTCTTAGCCATTAGTCATATCCCTGATAAAACATGTTCAACTGCAGAATGTACCATATCTATAAAAAAGTAGTCTTTCAGAAGAAATTCCAGAATTTGTTCATAATTCCCTGACTTTTCCAGACCAACCAAATTCCCTGACTTTTCCAGGTTTTCCCTGACCACACCAACCCTGTTTTTTTTACTGTCTGCAATGCAAGTTTATTAGGCTCACAATGGTTTTCAATGACTTGAGATGACAGGGTCGTGCACACAAACATCACCAACACGTGAGCATGATAAAAATGTTATTGTATAATTGGTTTTATTACATATTTTAGACTGTATTTTATAATATCACTGCAAATTGTACATGTATAGGCCTATGCTTATTCTTTTAACGTCTCCTACAAATTTAACACCACAAGAAATGATCGGTCTCCTGGTAATATATATAATATAAGAAGTGCAAAATATGCTATACTAAAGACATAATTTAGAATTAAAAAACACACTGTGAATACTTACCTTATTAATACCTTACTTACCTTATTATACTGTTACCTTAAATATATCACTTTTTTGCCAAAAGATATAAAAAGTAAATGTAATAGTAGGACATTTTACTGTAAACTAAAGAAATTTTTAGTAGAAAAAGCAATTTACTCCTTTGAGGAATTTTACAATTTAAAATATTGTGAATAGGCAATAAGTTACATTTCTCACTGACTCTATTCATTGTACTTGTACATTTATTAATACTGTAAAGGAGATTTTGATTTGATTTGAACATTGCAAGGAAAACATCAATCACCTAATAAGGGACAGATGGATTGTTAATATGTTACCTGCCAATTGCCAAACAACCATTTTTGGTACAGTAGAACCTCTTTAATCCGAACTAATTGGGACCAGGGGTAGTTCGGACTAGTGAATAGTTCGGATTACAGAGCATATTGTTGTTTTTACATAACAATAGATAAAACATGGCTAAAATTGATCTAAATTATCTTGGGAAAAGTGAAAAAAATGTTTTATAAATTAAAATACAGTGTTTATTTAATACAGTAGTAAACATGGTGAATAAACAGTACTGTAAATTAAATACAGTATACAATAAAGAACTGCTGTACTGTGTATAGAGTACAGCAATGAGGGGTTCGGATTAGTGGACGTTCGGATTATGGGGGTTCGGATTAAAGAGGTTCTACTGTAGTTACTGAAAACGAGTAAAAACATAGCCACACCTTAGTCTTCATACAATGCTTTTCCAAATTTATATTTAAATAACAGTGTGTTTTTAAACTATCTTCTATATCATTTGAAACCATACTCGTGAAAATCAATAGAAGATTGATGCAAACAGATAAGATAAGTTTACTTTTCAAAAAGAATAACAAATAACAATTTTTTGTGTATTTTACAGTAGATTACAGAATTAATAGCAAGATAAGAACTTATTTGTATACATCAATTATTAAACTGCACTAACCTTCTGTCGTTGAATATGTACCACTCGTGAGAATATGGATGTCTACAGTACGCAGTATAGTGCCCAGTGTAGCAAGTCCCATTGTGGTTGACGACTGCGTACAGATCATAGAGCAAGTTCTTGTATTGGCTCTCCGCTGAGTACGGCCCCATATCCAGCTTTGTCACTGGGAACTCGATGGAACTGTCTACTTTGCGAGCTCGGCTTCCCAGAGAAAACCGTTTAAGATCTATTCACACCAATCAAGGTAAAAATATGAAATCATTGCTTTGGTGATAAAAAGCAAGTAACGTTTTAGTAGTCTAGATACAAGTTAATTTGAAATAAAAACTTCACAATGTGCTATTGCTATAAAATAATAGTCAACTGGTGAAATAATATACATATATTAACAATTAATATATAAATAATTAAATAAACAATATCCTTATTTTCTGACATTTTTAGTCTCTATAATGAAATTTTCAAGTGTGTTTACCTAATTTCAAAAGTAAATATTATATTTGGAATAAATTCATGTGTTAATTATGTTAGTATGTGATTTATGTGGATTATCAACAATAAATATATATTTACTAGTTTAGTTGGTGTTGGTTTTATTCTAATATTTACAATTTTGTTTTCTTTTATGTTAATTTTGTTTCCTTTGTTATTATGTGGAGTATAGTAACGTTTTGGACTATACATATATTAACTGAACAAAATTCCTTTTTTACTCATGCTACAAGAACCATTTTTATATTGGGGGAAGAGGAAAGGAGTAAATTTAAAAAAAAATAAGACCCCTTGTTCATAGATTAATATAAAGTTTTCAATACATTCTACTCCGATGATTAAAAATAATATATATTTTTACTACCCAAAACATTGTTAGAGATTTGTTTTGAATTTTTGGTGATGGAATGTGTTTACGATTCCTTATTTATTTAAATTATGTAATATTAAAAGCATGATTTTTTAATTAATATGAAAACAATTACCAACACAAATCTCTTGATAAAAAATGTAACACAATATAAATTTAAAAAACACTGAGAAAAATAATGGAATTACAGTATCCACAGAATTTTATAGCAGACATTATGGTTTCATTGTTTTAACTTATATTATTTGTAAAAAATACAAAATCCACGTAAGACAATTTCCGCCTCATTGAATTTAGCAAGATGGCGACGCATGGCAAACAGTCCAAGTGCGGTTTGTGTAATAAAAACATTACGAAAACCAGTAAAGCACTCATATGTGTTAGGACTTGTAAATCATGGCATCATAACACCTGCATTGATGTATCTGACGAAGAGTATGAGTTATTCATAGCTCTAGGAAAAGCCATTTGTGATGTGAAAAGCTTAGTGATGTCCACGTCTGCTAAAACTTCGACTTTGTGTTCACTAGAGGTGAATAATGCTGAAAATGACAATGGGCTAAGTCCAAACAATTTAAAACTGTTGACTGGTCAAATTTCTGATGTTTCTGATAAGTATAATTTTATTACAGCACAGCTCAATTAATTAAAATGGATAACAACAGAAAACTCCTACAATCGGCAGTAAACAATCAAGCGGAGGTTATGTGGTTAATAAATGGTTTTTCTGCAGGTGCAAAAACTTACGCAGATTCTTTGAGAGTTAATTCAGGGAGCCCTCGACTCCCCTTTGTGCCCTTTGTGTATAGTATTAATTTACAGCTTAAATGTTAGCCTATTGCCTACTTAAATCTAGTCAATTCAAAAATCTGAATGGTTTATGTTACCTGGCTTCGTCAAGTGATCCTGCTTGAGTAGTTTACTACTATAGTTTCAGACTTAAAAGTCTTCAGGTAGGAACAAAAACGTCAATAAGTCATCTAACCAATTTGGTTAGATTTGTCGTTACACTTAGAACACATACACGAACAAAACTGGCCAGTGTAAAATTAATCACGGGGGACACGTGTGGCGACGCCGGAAGATGAGTCAAGACTGCATGTCCTCCTGCAAGTCCAGTGGATGACGTAATGTCCCTCTCCTGACCTTCCTTAACCTTGGTCTGTGTTATCGCCATTGTCTCTGTCAGCTGATAGTTTCATGGCCTTATTGTAGATTATGTTCGACTCGAATGATAACTTCTCATTTCATACAAATTGGGGATTTTGTTTGGACGATTTGTATATTTCATACTCTTTGATTGTGTTCATATAATAGCCTTTAATGCATGTATGGAGGATATGCAAATTAGTATTTAAATCTGTATAGTAATGTTTTGAATTGATCAAATGATTGGCATAGGCTGAGGTAGAATGTTTTTTTTTTTAAATGAAAATGACCTTGAAGTTTGGCAAATGTAGAAAGAGGGACAGTCATTATATTTGTTTTTAGTATTTTTTGTGTTTGTGTATGTGTTCTAAGTGTAACGACGAATCTAACCAAATTGCTTAGATGACTTATTGACGTTTTTGTTCCTACCTGAAGACTTTTAAGTCTGAAACTATAGTAGTAAACTACTCAAGCAGTATCACTTGACAAAGCCAGATAACATAAACCATTTAGTGATCCAGAGGCTACCTCACCATGAAATTCAAAAATGTCTATTCGCCACGTACCTGATATGCAATGTTTTTATATGTAGCCTAACTTAATATTCTGACGTGTTCTATTACTGTATTTCATGTTTAATTATAAAATAAAGAATCATTGAATCTTGAATCTTGAATCAAGGTAATTCCAGGCTCCTGCAAATTAAGCTTGAATATTTTACTTTAAAAGGATACGAATGACAAGAACTTCGGGGAATTTCTGAATTACAAATCTCTTCTTGCATTTCCGCCGAGTCTTGCACTTGGAACAAGTCTGAAATCACAAAATTGACTGCTTCAAAATAGAGAGAAGTTTACTCATAATTGTATTAACCATGCCATGAATAAAAATACCCCAATGCACAAAGAGTTGTTGCTTTCTTTAAGGGGGAAAAATGTTAATGATGGTTTAATGGCAAAAAAATAAATTAATAATGAAAATAAGTAAAAAATAACAATAGATTTGACAAATTTACGAAGATACGTCTATGGACAAATAGATTGTCCATATACAGCAATAAATATATTACCAAGGATAACATAGAAAGCAATGTACTGTTTTAAAACTTATATAGCTTATAGCTTAGTAGTTACCTCATTTGATAGATTTTGGAAATTCAAAATAGTAAAAATTACAGATACCGTAAATTGGATTTTAAATTTGTCTTAATTAGATACTTGAAAACTGTATAAAATATCAAAAAAAGTTTTAAACGGATGATGTCACCAAAGATAAAAGATAATACCTCCGCCACAGCAAACCTGCAGACTAAGGGAATTTCTATTAATCTGGCTGGATTTCTACTAAAATATTCCTTAAAAATTGCCAGATTTATTTTCTATAAATAGAAACATAACATTAATTTTAGTGAGTACTTAGGTTTGCTGCTACAGGGAAGATATTGAGGTGTGTTTTTTCGTAATGTTGATAGCTTAGTATTAAATAAACAGAATTTCCAAATTTGGTTAAAATACATCTATAAACAAGCAAACTACAACAGTTTATTTATTCTCCATATGAATAACATGGGAATTTTAATTTAGAAGTTTTTAAATTATCTCCGTAACCGTTAGGCATACAACAACGCTTGCAAAATTATTTCTTTTTTAAGCTCGGCAAAATGGTATGGAGATAAATTATGAAATTTTGTGTTTTGAGGGTCAAAAATGGGAAAAATCAATTTTTGCACAATAAAACGCCCCATAAACCCCCGTTCCCATAGTCTGATTATGCTGGTTCGCGAACTTGTTTGAATAAATGTAGGTATAGTTTAAACGTTAGTATAAAATTTCATCAAAATCGGATCATTTTTTTTTAGTCATCGCGCTAACGGACATACATATATGACTTTGATGGTGTTTTTGACCTCTGGGGACCTCAAAACAAAATAAATCGGTCCCGGGTCTAGGTCTTACCATGAGACCTACTGTAATAGCTTATTCCTTATATGGGAAATTCGCTAAAAAACCACTTGAGCATAGTTGATTTTTTTTAGTAAAAGAGGTTGGCAACCTCTTTTAACCTTGCTACTACATACCCGTCCACATAGACTACAGATCTGTGTGTGGAACGTATCCAGCAAAGCAAGGGGTGAGCCGGTACAGTACGAAGGTGAACTGTACTGATTGATTAAATAACCCTTTTTTTACTACCGGTACTTGTTGAAAGACAGCTGAACTCTTCAACATACTAAATAGTCAGCCAAAGGATTAGAATTGCTCATAAAAAAAAACAAAAAAAAAAACACAGTCAAATTGATATAGTGCTCATCAGAGCTTACTTGTTTGAAACTTGAGGTTCCACACCCACACCATATCTACCCTACCCTGCTGACATAATTTTTAATATAAAGTTCTTCTCTTAAAAACTTAGGAATACAACAGAGAAAAAAATATGTTAAAAGAAATATACCGGCATTTCATCTCCGTCGAGCACCTCCTCCTTAGTAAAAAGATCGAAGCAATGAGAAAGCATAAGTTTGCCTGGGTGAGTAAGGGTGTCTGGAATTGGCAGCGACAAATCCCAAAACGGCTCAAATGTGGTGGATTTATGGCTGCAGTGAGTACACTCCAATATAGACTTGAGCAGACCACCAAACGTATCTACAATCTTGCTGTTCTCCAATCTCAGATATCGCTTCCACACTTCCAAAGCTTTTTGTGAATCACTACACAGAATGAATGAGGTTGAAGAAAACCTGTCTTGTAAGATTAAGTACAAAAATAGCATTATCTAAAAGAATGTAGGAAAAGCACAGTGCAGTAGATTAGCTAAGCCTAGACTAGGCTAACTGAGTTTTGGTTTTAACTGAGCTGCTTTTGCGTGTTATGAAAAATTGTATATAAATAATCATCAATGTTTGATAATGTTATAAGTGTATCAACGATTGTTTTTAAACACAACTCGGCAAGATAAAATGTTCACTGCATATTTTAGGCTGAAAAATGACAACAGCTTTCTTACAACCTTTAGAGGTTCAGTGTGAACAATAAACTGATGGAAAAAACAGGGTTGGCAGGTAGAGCGGGCTGAGAGGTGACCGGTGAATGTCAAAAAGGCGTTGCCGATGTTTAGGGTGGTGGGAGGTAGGGGAGAATGACCTTGAATTGGCTATGTGGTGTATAACCCAGTAATGGGACGTATTGCAACATTGGGCTTTGTTTCAATGACAGTTTTTTCAATACTTCGATCTCGTTAAAGCAAAATAATAATTTGATACTTTATAATTAATTTATTGTAAATTATTGCAACTAATTAATACAATAAATGCATTTTTCACAATACTAGGCATCTCATTCTCTAATCTTACAGCAGTAAAGTCAGTTTATCAGAGTTTTTGACTATACGAGGTACACTCAGTCCACATCACCTCAGTTAATCGTGGCACTATATTCAATTAGGACCATAAAAAAGAGGCTACTTTTCAAGCTGTTTTTTAGCTTCCATTCAGAAGCTATTTATGCAGAAATTATGTTCAGAATGAATTCAACTTACTCCAAATCATCGTCGATTTCTTCTGTCAGTGGCTTAGGTCGACTTGTAATACGATTTATCTCATTGTGTATTCCTTCTAGGAGATAGCGCAAGAACTCCTGAGCATCTTGTTGAAGATAGCCCGTGAAACGAGGGGCAACAATATCAACTTCCAGCTTGAAATTGTGAGTGGAAAGTGACTTTTGGTCTCCTTGCCAAAGGTTTTTTATCAGTTCAGCAAATCCTGCAACAACGGTTTGTTTAAAGCGTTAGTGTTCTTTTAAAGAAAAGTAGTTTTTTAGTACTTTAGGCAATTGGTAATACAACATATTGAAATCTGGTACAAGAGTCGAAGCAGATAATTTTTGTTTAGCGCTTAGGTTTATTAGAGAAAAACTTTGTTTAAAAAACTTGCGAGGATTTTAAATACAGTAGACTCTCACTAAAATGACCCTGCACGACCAGGTAGAGGTTAAATCCAGAAAAATGAAGAATCAGTTGTGCAAAACAAAATTATCCTTGTATCTAGCCATAATCATACTTATATAATTAAAAGCCATACATTTTTGTCTATGTTTAAACCACAAATAAATAATATTCCATCTGAGCATCTAGATTGTAATATACAGCCTGTTAAAATAAGAAATCTTTACATAAAATCATTGAGAGGTTGCTGAGCAAGGTTGCTAAAAACAAATTAAGCCTATTAACAGTCAGAAAACATGTCATATTTAAAAATATTTACTTACTTTTCATAAGAGCTGACTTTACTGAGGGTCTTATTTCATTAAGATATTCATCACTGAGGATATATTCCTTGATCACCCTTGTGTTGCTAAGGCACTGCACAATAGAGTTGAGGAAGCACTGTGAACATTCAACACTAACATTTTTAAAGAAATTAATAGTTTTGAACAGGCCTACAACTTTATATAACACTTACAAACTTTATGTTAAGTCTCTTATTTGAGAAAATATGGCTTACGAGCCATACTAGAAATTACGAGCCATAGGAGAGCTTGAGGCTTGTGTTTAGAAACACGACTAAGGGATTTAAATGGTTTATGACTTGAATTTTACGAATTGTTTGTTTATATTTCACTAACAAAGTTTGTTTTTTAAATGACTTTATAGCACAAAAATGTTAAGCAGATTTAAAAAAGTTATAAATGTAATTATGTTGATGTACTTTCCAAAATCAAAAGAGTGATATAAAAATTGTTGCTATTTTGTCCACACCAGCGAAGCTGTTCAAAGCCATTAATTCAACAAGGGAAGACAGGGTTTTCAACCATGTGAAGTTCTGGATTACGCCTCTCCAACATGGTTTTTATCCTCGGAGGTCTATCAATATTAATCTGATGAATTTTTCCGATTTTTGTATTTCTTCTTTGGACAAAGAGGTCAGGTTGATGTCATTTATACTGATTTCGAAAAAGCGTTTGACAAAGTCAACCATCTAATACTATTGTCAAAACTGAATTATCTTGGCATCTCCTGCAATGGTTTGCGGTTTTTTTCACCTACTTACATAACAGAAAACAGTTTGTTCATTTTCAGGGAAGTTCATCTTCTGAATTTATTGTATCTTCAGGGGTTCCCCAGGGTTCGAACCTTGGCCCTCTATTATTCACAATCTTCATTAATGACTTCATTAACAGTGTGCTGAATAGTAAAGTCCTTCTTTATGCTGATGACCTAAAGATCTTTAGAGAAATAAACGACATTAGTGATTGTCTTCTATTGCAACAAGACCTGGATAGATTAGCGGCTTGGAGTGATGTGGGAATAAAATTCCATTCCGATAAATGTTTTGTTGTCAGTTTCACCAGACGCACTCACAATGCTGTCAACTTCCAATATTCCATGAATGGTGATTTACTGGGTAGTCGCAGTAGTGTCACAGATCTTGGTGTTACAATTGATAGCAATCTGTCTTTTTCTAATCACATAATCGAGTCTTGTAGATCAGCGTATCAAATTCTTGGCTTCATATTCAGATAAGGAAGTTTTATAACAAACATTTACAGCCTCAAACTTTTATATTGCACCCTGGTACGGCCTAGACTTGAGTTTGGAGCAACTGCGTGGTATCCTCATAAAACCTATCTTGTTGACATGATTGAGCAAATACAAATCGAATTCCTTAGATATTTATTCTTAAAAAAATTTGGATACTTCACATTTGATGTATCTTACCACAATCTTTTAAACTTGTTTAAAATGGTCAGTTTAAAGTGACGTCGTGATATGGGTATGCTTATCTTTCTATACAAACTATTCAATGATAAGGTGAGCCCGCGCGTTGTCCAGTCTGTCTTTCTCACGGACTTGCCTAGGGGCTTAATCACCCATCAACACGATGATAAGACTATATAACTCAATATCGAACAACATTGATATTTGTAACGAGCCTAGCCTTTAAAAAAATCTTTAGTCTCACATAATGGTTAATGTTATTTATTTCTCTCTCCTTCATTAGTTATCAGTTATCGTGTGTCTCATGTTTAGCTTCTTATCTTATTTATTTGTGTTGTATTGTTAATCACTCTTATTTGTTGTTATTTAATGCTACTATTTTTTATTGTTGTTGTTATTTAATAATTAATATTTATTATTATTCGTGGTCTATGAATGTTTCACTTTAGGCTATATTCAATTTCATGAACTCATAGCATGTTCTCAATTTTGTTTAAACTAGGATAGTGCTGCAATGTAAATGGGATTTGTGTTCTGTTTAATTCTGTTAACGCATATAGTGAATAAATAATACTGAAATAATTTAGTAACAAATATTTAGCATGAACAGACAACTCATTGATATTGTAACTAATTCAAATTGAAGGCCTTTATCAACAACAAATTTTACAAAGATCATTATATTTACCAAGCAAAGTCTAATCATTCCTACATTGTATTATTGGACTTTTATTACAATATGCAGGGTGTTCAAAAAAGGTGGGGAAATAATTTACGTAGTGATTCCTTGGGTCAAAATAAAGAGAAAATCAAGAACATGTTTTTTTTTTATCGCTTCCTTAACCAGATATCCGCCATTTTGTATTTTTCATATACAATTTTTTATCTTGACATTTTTCAACCATCTAATACATACCAAGTTTCATAAAAATCGGTTGAAAAATGTCTAGGATAAATATGTTTATGTAAAAAATACAAAATGGCAGATAACTGGTTAACAAAGCGATTTTCGAAACAATCTTATTCTTGATTTTCTCTTTATTTTGACCCAAGGAATCACTACGTAAATTATGTCCCCACCTTTTTTTCGAACACCCTGTATGACTGAAACAAATTTTTTGTCATGGGAAGACTGCAAGAGTGCAAGTTGTAGTTGAAATACCTACAGTGTTGCCTATATTGTTGAGCCCTGTGAGACCCTTTTGGTCATGAGATGTCTTGGATGATTTGCTCGGTGAGGACAATTCACGGTCACTCTCCTGAAAAAAAATTTTATCGTAAAAACACTTGTCTACAAGTTTTAGGGTTGCATTGATTAGTGGCTATCTTCACCATATAAGAGATATTTTGAAATTGTTATAGTTTTCAAGCAGAAATTCATATAAAAATTATTTTAACTTTTCAATTTGTTTAGGCTTGTAAATTTTCAAACTGTTAAATACTCAATTAACAAACAATAAAGAACTTAAGTTCAGAAAAATCACAATTAGTATAGTAGTTAAACAAGTTATATTCATTTAGAGTGATTTAAAATTTAGGGATATCACGGTGAAAAAGAGATAGGGAATATTTAAAAGTTGAAAAGAGCAGCTTTTACTTTAAGTAATCACAACCACAGAACAGTATACAGTATAAAGGACACCTTAATTGTTGTGGCTTTCAGAAATGTCAGGCTTTCAGAAATGTCAACACAAGCACTTCTAATAAAAAAAATAAAAATATAAGTAAAAAATAAAAATACTGATTTTGTTTTGAATGAAGTGCAAGTTTCAACCCTTACAAGGTAGAAATGAGAAATAACTGTTAGTCACTAAACCATTTCCCCAATCCCCTAATTGTTTCTTTTCAGAGACAAGGTACATATTATTAGTGCCATGATCACCTCTATAAACCTCAGATTGTTAAATAAGAACAACAAATCTACTTATATACTATTCAGTTCTGAAAATCTTTGTACAACTAAATCTAGCGTTCTACTGGACCAATTTATTAATTAATGGGTCCATTGGAAAGCTTAATTTGTGTAGATTTGCAAATAATTATGAAAGTTTGTTTATGTTATGATTTATAGTGAAAATAAAAAAAAAAACATGTTTTCCATAAGAAATACGTTTTCACATTATTTATTTGGATGCAACTTTTGGCTGCCTTTTTTGAGTGTTTTTAAGAAATGCTATCAATTAGTAGGAAATTTGATTCTCTTTCAGAATATAAGGTGCAGAGCCGTATTTCCCTGATGGCGGACACGGTGGTTGCCGGGGGCCTCGCCTAAGAGGGGTGCTGACTTGGGGCCTATTCAATGTATTTATGTACAAGAATGAATAAAGTAGTTTTGAATTGAATTGTATTGAATTGAATTGTTTTTCTTTATAAATTTATTTCACCGATCATCTTTTTTGCGGGAGACGATGAAATCAGCGCCACCGCAAAAGATCTTCACTATTTCTCCGTTAACGAAGGAGTTGTCACTATTCAATTACGATTGCGGAAGATGTCCAGAATTGTATTGCGACCACGGGGGAGTCTAACATCATGTCCCCAAAAACTTGGAGGATCTTTATGATTTCATAATGATCGTCGTAGATGACGTCTCCATGGTCGCGCATGACACTAACTATTTCTCTGCGGCCACAGAACACTTTCATGATTTCGCCGCGATCCGAGGTCTCCGCTCTCGTGCAAGCCGCAAACAGTTAGTTACTCCACGGCCATTGGAGACGTTCCTGATTTCACTGTCATCGGAGGAGACGATGATGACGTCCCCGTGCTCATGCAAGATGCTAACTATTACTTCATGGCCATAGGAGATGTTCATGATTCTAGCGTGTTCGGAAAACACAGGAGACATTCATGATTTTGCCGGTATTGCAGAAAACAAAGATGATGTCTCCATGATCACCCATGATGTCAGAGACAAAAAAAAACCTGAATCATATTTCACATAAACTAATGGTCAATTAATGCCGTGGTCATTTAAGAAATCTGCCAGGGAGTAATATGATTTCTCCACCAATAATGCTTTAGTCCAAATTTTAAATTTTTGTGGTGTAAAGGATTTTATTTTTGAGGGGATCTTATTATATATACAAATCCTCATATGGATGGTTTTTTTTTTAATTGGGGTCTGGGCGGTTTTACGTTCAGGGACTTGTATACTATAACCACCTCAAGTGGCATGATAACCGCCAGAACTGAAATATTCTGCCACCTTATACAACTATACAACCCCACTAGTTGTAAGTAAAAAATATGAATAAATTATTAAATCAGACTAAAACTGTTCTAGTAAAAACAAGTAATCATCCTTGGAATCATGAGTTAAACCACTAACACTCGACTAAAATAACTCATTTGTGTTGATGTTATTAATGTTGAGTGGTCAAGAACAAATTTTTAATAAGTCATAAGTCATAAGTCATAAGTTCTTTATTCCAGAACTACAAAATTACATTGCATTGGAATAGTCAAGTTTATAATGAAATGTACAAAAGATAAAACTACCTTTTAAAAATATTTTTAATAAACTACCTTTTAAAAATATTTTTATGATAAACAATGTCACTACTCCTAATTGATAACAATTGTATTTTCAAACTCATACACACCTAATCACATACATCACCTAAAAACATGGTTAGTTGATTTAGTATTACTTGATGTTTACCTTTCTTGATAGGACCAACGTTTTTTTATAAATACAGCCTCTTGAAACACAGCTAAAAGACACAGTGTTCACCTTTTCATCCATGGAATCAAACACACCCAATCCAAAAGAGCACAAAACACTGAAGAGCAAAATGACCCAACAGACGGACACAGTCCACTCAATAACTCCATCTGGCCCCGAAGTCACATAACATTTGTTAAATTTCTACAGGCAGTGCCGTATTTCTAACGAGGGAGGCTCCCGGCGGCTCTCACCAGGGAGATCCCTCTATTATAATTCTTTGGTGGCAATCCGATCGGCAAATGGACATGGAAGGCTAGGAGACCGGCTAATAAATAATTAATTGCAGTATATTTTTTATGATAATATTTAGCAGGCCAGACTTATTTAGATTGGTTTGGGCCAATAATGTTGACTTTTGAGTTTCGAGTCGAAATTAGGTTATTAAAATTTAATCAAATGATTTAATCAAATCTGGGTTGTTTTGGTAAATTAAATATTGTTTGAAAAAAATAATTTTTATACTATAGTTGGTCTAAACAACTTATGCAATTGCAATGAATTCGTGGTAACGAAACAAAGTTGAAAATAAACAAAACCGTTCTCTGTCACAACCAGATCATTAGTGTCCCCTGCGGTCACGGTAAATTAGTTGGATTGATAGCAAAGGTTTCCTACATTTACAGTGGAGTAGTGATCTTTCGCAATCATGGAGACATCTGGGCTTGCAGCGTAACAGTGAACACACCACGCAATTGCAGACGTATTATAATTATCTCCCACGACTGCGGCAAAATTGTCACTTTCGATCGCACAATCTTTACGGATGCTTTTGGTTATCACGAGAATACCAGTTTGACTATAAAATCAAACCCCTTAACAGATTGCGGGTAAAGTTCATAAAAAAAAAAAAAACTTTAAGGCAGTGGCGGCTAGCCCATAAGGACTCTCGGACGCCGCCCTCCAACAATACATAAATAAATTACATTTTAATATTCTTCGGTTAAATTAAATTAAAATTACTTTAACGAGTACTTAAAACAATATACAATATAAATATATCAAATAATTGGATAATTCAATTCAGTAATGAGTTATTTTTGATTGTCGCTTGCTTAGTAAGGACGGTGCGGATGGCGGCCAGACCGTCCCAATCCCAATACATGTAGTCTTATGGAAGAACAACCGAACAGCGCTGAGGGTGCCATGACACATGGTTCACACTTTCTGGAAAGTCAGTGGAAATTAGGCAAATCAGGGAATAAGAAAAAGGTCAGGGAAAGTCAGGGAACACATGAAAAAAAATTCTGAAAGTCAGAGGAAAATGTGTTTTTTTAAAGTCAGGGAATTCTTTAGTTTTGAGTTTACGCTTAAAAAAAGTTACTGCGATGACAAAAAAACTACAACTTCTCTCTGAATAAAAATATTCTTGTGAAAGTTGAGTCTATAAAAAAATGTAGTATACTTGTATATTTTTATGCAATTTTGTGCAATATTCTTGATTGCTACAATATTACTATTAATATTAATAAAGTTCTAAGCAATAATTGTTTTCAGTTTTGCCATCAAATTACCAATTCGCTGTTAGACAGTCTGCCGTGTTAGGGAAACCAAATTAACCTCAATTCTTGTGAACAAGTTTATTCGGACCTGTTATAAACCAGAAGAGATTTGTTTTATTATATAAATAATTAATGGTAGTAGTCATATTACATATAGTACACGTCAAGATCAGAGTTTATTATCTAGAAGGCCATAAGGAAGACACAGAGAATAGGCGAAGAGGACCGGGTCGCTGTCTTGAAAAATTCTACGAGTAAGCATCCCCATTTTCTTACCGCTTTTTCTAAGTCCAAATAGTAGTAATATATGCGCATATATTTGCATTTATTTTATCTGTCGACGAGTGTATAATCAGTTATTTTACTTTGTGCGCGTGTGAAATTATTTTAATTAGATTAACATGAGACAATAAAATTGTATCGGGCCATAAGGAGTTTGGTCCAAATAGGCAAAGACGCCTTGCAGAAAAAATCTGGTCTGCAAAGAAGGAAAAATTAAATTTTTACTTAAATTCAAGCATTTTATTGAAGTTTAAAGTATTTTATCATCTGGAGAAAGGTATTTTGTTGTACATAAGTCTATTTGTTCAAACTAGCCTCTCTTGTGATGGAGTAATGAACTCTTTGAAATTTCCACACTCATGCCTAGGGTTGCCCCTTTTTAGTCCTTGGCCTATTGTCTTACTTGCTACATCATATGGTAATCACAAAGAATGGCTTTGAAACAAATATTAGGGAAATACAAGAGTTCAATAAGGACTAGGAGTTTTTTGAAAATTACATTGAAAGATTCCAATTTTTCTTAAAGTAAATTCAATTGAGGACAATGCTAAAGTCCCCCTTTTCATCTCCCTTATGGGACCAGATATATATAGCACTCTCGAAACAAAGTTGTGAAATCACCAATTAACTTAACTGGCAACCTCTCTGTTTTAAGATGTTACTATTATATTAAATTCAATAAATACTTACAAGTGAACATTATTAGTACTAATTGTTATCTGGAAAATTAATCTACACAAAAATAACT